ATATTATAATTATAATAGTACTATTTATATTATTTGAATATTATAAAATATGATTATTAGATAATAATTTGTCATTTTTAAATAATATATTTTAATTAAGAGAAATGAAAGAAAGAAGTGAGTAAAAAAAATTCTCTTTATTTTATTTTTTTAATTTAATTATTTATTCAAATAATAAAAAAATAAGAGGAGAATAAAGAAAAATGAAAAAAAAATAATTTTTAACTTATCCTCTTCATTCCATTCCATCTAAATATAAGATAAATTTAATTATTTAACTTAAATTAGAGTTTCTAAATTTATTTTTTATTTTTTTAAAAAATAAATATTTTACCTCAATTTTGCCATTATTAAAAGGTTTTTGTTGGCCTAACGCTTTTTGATTGTTGAAATGACTTCAAGGGCAAACATGAAATCTAAACTTGTGTTGGTTGAGTTTTTTTACTTTTTGTAGCAGCGAATCAACTGTGTTTCTATATTACTCCTTAAATATTAAATATAAGTCATTTAGTTTTTATTTAGACATATTTTTCTTAATTCTTTTTTTTTTTATAGTATATAGGTAATAATTAAAATTTTCATTTTTTTATACATAATTTTTGTTGGATAATTTTATTTAATTAAAAATAAATATTATTTATATAATTTAGGTTAAATATCCTTTTTGGTCCCTCTACTATAGGGAAAAGCCCCTTTTGGTTCCCGTACCAAAAAAATCTCCTTTTTAGTCCTTAAATTTTAAAGTCTGGCTCCTTTTTAATCCCTTTGTTAAATTTTGGCGGATGTAGTAGGTTAATTAATGGAAAAACTTTTTTTTACTAAATTACGTGAAAAATCCATCTGGCAAAAATTGATGATATGGTTAAACTTTTTTACCTTTAATTACCGATTTACCCCCATCTTCTTCTCCATCCTCTCCTTCCTTAGACCTTTTTTTTTTCTTGGTTAAAACCCTTTTTTGGTCCCTGGACTATTGTACGGACCCCCGATTTGGTCCCTGAACTAAAAAAATCCATGATTTGGTCCCTACTGTTTACCATTTTTACCCCGATTTGGTCCTTCTGTTAAAAATTGTGTGACGTGGCCTGTTACTTAACGGTTATCGGATGACATGTCATGTAATAATCCACGTGGAAAATAATGTAACCAAAAAGTGATGATGTGGAAAAAAAATAATATAAAAAAATATTATAAAAAATAAAACTTAAAATTTTTTTTCTTTTTTCTTTTTTTCTTTTTTCTTTCTCCTTCCCCTTTCCCTTTCTCTTTCT